AGCCGAGAAACTATGCCATGTTCTTTGCAGCCTTCAACACATTATCGATGATGATGAGCACCTCGCCAAGATCTTCACCACGCCTCCAAACAACCACCAAACCTTAAACAGACCATTGTTCACAGCAAACTACCCAGCATTCAGGACATCAGCCACATCCCTGTCATGGCAACCTCTGCAAGATATGTCAGATCTTCAACCATGACTACTACCATCACACATGGCAACACCACCCACCATGTGCACCGCAGATACTCATGTGATTCGGCCAACATTATCTATCTCATATGCTGCAGACAAGGATGCCCTGAGGTATGGTACATTGGTGAAACCATTCAGACGCTACGACAACGGATGAATGGACACTGCGCAACAATCGCCAGACAGTAATGTTCCCTCCCAGTGGGGGTGCACTTCAGCAGTGAAGGACATTCGGCCTTGGATCTTCGTGTAAATGTCCTCCAAGGCAGACTTCGGGATACACAACAACGCAAAGTCGCCAAGCAGATGCTGATAGCCAAGTTCAGTACCCAGGTGGATGGCCTCAACTGAGATCTTGGATTCATGTTGCACTACAGGTTATCCCATCGCACTATGCACTCTCTCTCTCACACACACGTACGCATTCTCCCTCTCTCACGCACGCACGTGAATCTATGGAGTGAATTTGTATTTGCAGATACATTCTATTTTGTTCAAAAAGCACACAATTTATATACAATCAGTCAATGTGACATTTTATAAATTCCTACTTTAGAAATAAAACCAGTCGGAGTCCAAAGCAAAATACAAATGGATGCTAAACAGGGCCTCACACCTAACATGCATTGTTTGACCTAAAATGTCATCTCTTCTTTCCACTGATAAAACCTTCAGTTCTCTCAGGACAGTGACTTCAAAGGAATTGTTTTTTTTTCTTTATTCATTCACGGGATGAGGGCATTGCTGGCTAGACAGCATTCATTGCCCATCCCTAATTGCCCAGAGGGCAGTTATGAGTCAACCACATTGCTGTAGGTCTGGAGTCACATGTAGGCCAGACCAGGTAAGGATGACAGTTTCCTTCCCTAAAGGACATCAGTGAACCAGATGGGTTTTTCCATTAATCGACAATGGATTCATGGTTAGCATTAGACTCTTAATTCCAGATATTTATTGAATTCAAATTCTACCATTTGCCGTGGCAGGATTTGAACCCAGGTTCCCAGATCATTATCTGGGTCTCTGGATTAACAGTCCAGCGATAATACCACTAGGCCATCACCTCCCCCTGTTTGATAAACATATTAATCAATTAAAACCTTCTAACTGATTAAAGATTTAATAGCATCTCAGGTTTGTTTAGTACATCTTTATTTAAGATGCTTCTTAAAAACTTAATTCTTCAACCAAAGTGTTGGTCATCTGACCTAGTACAGCATCTTACCACATGTCTAGGGATCAAAATTTTGTTTTTAATATTCCCATCAAGCAACTTGTAGGTATTTTACTACATTAAAGGTACTTTATAAATACAGCTTTTTATTGCTAAATATTACAAAACTCTAATCAGGAGCATAGTCTCACCTTTTAAGCACTTTTCCACTGAGTGAAACTTCATATGAACTCAGATGAGGTAGCTGAATAGATGGGAGGCCCAGGCATAAGAGGCTGTATGGAGCCAGTTTGGAGAACCAAGTGGCTTTTTCCTTCTGTTGACTTTATTATGAAAATCCCTAGCAAAATTATCTAAGGAAGGGCAGTAAAGGACCTCATAGGATATGAGTTCCCTGATTGGGCTGTTAACCTGGTCCAATAAGGGAGTCCTGGCTGACAGATATAAACAGGAGTGTCAGGGTTCTGTTCACTCTCGGAGGTGGTTCTGACCTAGCTGGGTGTATTATGCGTATAAATTAAGGGTGACTTAGTGATGGGATACAAGCCTCCGTTGAGGTTTTCAGGTAGGGTATGGGTCTATTTATATCACTTAGTTGCAGAAATAAACTATTGTCATTAATCCAAATTACAAGTCATGGAAAGAACAGAATTAGTCAATCAATAACCACAATGTGACCTATTTACAGTTTCTGATAGGGTTAATTCACTCTTCACTCCAGAATGGCGTAGGTCTGACAACATTTTTTTTTAAACCAGGCTAGCTCAATAGCTAGTCAATCACTCAATTTAAATATTATCTCAATTTTCAAAAATTAGTTTCACTTATTTTCACAATTCATGCTCTGCCTGATTTCTCAAACATCATATTGTCCAAAGTATAAATGTCTATATGTTCCTGCACCATTCCACTCTTCCACGTTTGAAAAAAATGTATTTCACATTATAGCTCAGATGATCTGTGTTGAGCTGTAAACAAGGGCATCTCTCTATAATTCAAGTCATACTGAAAAAAAGCTAGAGACACAACAGGGGCAATGGTAAAACATTTGCGTCAGGGTTTGAAGATGATGGCTTTAGTCAATCAGTGTTCAAAGATTGTGGAGTTGACAACCATAATTATAATTGATTTAAATGCATTACTTCCATACTTTGATGTTAAGCTTGTCATTAATCATTCTTTGCAGTAATTACCAGATCCTGATTAAAGGACCTGTTACTCATTCTCCACAATGAGACGTGAAATATTATACAGAGGTGACGTTGCATAGGAGATAGAAATAATTTACAAATTAGTCATAGAGCACCTCATTGAACATGAGCTGTGAAACAAGCAGAGATCTTCCCTCCTAGCCTCGTAATATGAGGTTCAGTAAGTATTCTGCCATTCAATAGGGTCAAGGCTGATCTCGACCTCCAACCTTTATCTTCCTCCTACCTCCTGATTCCCTAAGACACCAAAAATCTATCGATTCCAGCCTTTTAGTTATTCAAGGATAGAGAATTCTAAAATTTACTACCCTTTGAGTGGGTTGAAATTGTGCATAAGGTTTTTATTTTGTAGCAGTACAGTTGATAGATATAGGGTAATGGTGTCTTTGATGAGATTTTAATCCATAACCAGGAGGTGAAAGATGGAACATAGTAGATCCTGAGTTCTGTGAAAACCATCCTTCTGTGAATACACACAGTGACAGGTTGAAGCAACAGGTTAAAACCATAGCCAGAAGGGTCAATGTTTAGAAGTTGAATCTTTTAAACATGGCAATTTATTTAACAACATAAGGGTATACTTAGGATATTTCAGAGAGAATGGGGTGAATTCCTCCATTCGTAATAATCATTGATAGAAATTAGGGAGGAGGGACACAAATGGAAAAGGTGTATTATTTGTTTCAAAGGAAAAAGTGAGGGGGATTCAGAGGAATACTGACGAAATCAGGGTTGATCAAATAGAGACAAGACAGGTTGGACGCCAAGAGTGATACAAAAAAAAATTTAAAAAGGAAGAACTTGCATTTATACAGCACATTTCACAACCTCAGGATGTCCCAAACTACTTTGCTGCCAATGGAGTATTTTTTGAAATGTAGTCACTTCTGCAATTTAGGAAATTTGGTAGCCAATTTATGCATAGCAAGCTCTGCAAACAGCAATATGATCTGTTTCTGATGTTAGCTAGGGTATAAACATTTGCCAGACCAATGCAGATAAGAACCCTGCTCTTCTACAATCTGGGACTTTGTACATCCACCTGAAAAGGCAAGTGAGGTAGAACTTTAGCGTCTCACCCAAAAGTCAGTACCTCTAACAGTGATGTTCTCCCTCAGCATTATACTGAAATACAGATTTTGCCCTCAAGCATCGAAGTACGATATGAATCCATGGCCTTTTGACTCAGCTGGGAGTCAACAATGGTTGATACAGGGTCTAAAAATATTAGAGGCAGCCTCATGTTAAAATCAGATTTTTACTGAAGTTGTATTTTTGCAATAGTTTGGAAACATAAATGTCGTGAATTTATAACCTTATGAAACTTAATAGTTGACAGAATTATAATTCTCGTAGTTGTTGTGCTGAGAAATGCACATTTGTTTATGCTTCTCTGTTAAAAGTGTTAGAAAAAAAATTATCACAGTTGCATGGTTAAGTTTTGCCTTTTTAAGATTTCTGTTGAATTGTTCAAATTAAAGAACTCCTCATGCATACTGCGAATTATTTTTTTAATTTGGGGAAATCTCTGTAAACACCCGAAATCCCTATAAATCAATGGCACTTAATACTGAATAGGATAAAGGAGAAGTGAAGATAAGGCATTCATATTATTGGCAGTTGGAGTGAGGCATCAAACTTGTGTTTGAAAATACTTAAAAAGACATTAAACTGAAGGAAGGGCTGAGAAGAGTTGTGCAAACAAATGCCAAGTATTTACCTCAAGGGCCTGAGCAATCTAGGATAGATTGGTACAGTGACCTTCTGCTGTAACTTGAAGAGTCGCTTGTTGTGAACAACATACAATTTTTTATTTTAAACAAAAACAGAAATTGCTGGAAAAACTCAGCAGGTCTGGCAGCACCTGCGGAGAGAAATCAGAGATAATGTTTCACGTCCAGTGACCCTTTCTCAGAACTGAGAGTAACTAGGAAACCAACCTTTTCCTAGCTACAATCAGCTCTGAAGAAGAGTCACTGGACAGGAGACATGAACTCTGCTTTCTCTCTACAGATGCTGCCAGACCGGCTGAGTTTTTCCAGCAATTTCTGTTTTTGTTTATAATTTCCAGCATCTGCAGTTCTGTTTTTTATACTTTTTTTACACGTCTACAACTGTTTACATACTACAAGCCTATTGGTATATGTTATTTCAGAGACTTTTAGGAGGACCTGGTCTCAGGTTTGACTCCTTGAAGGTCGTACTGACTCTCCGCACTAGTTCTTATGACATCATCACAATAGGTGATGCTTATGGTATACGGCCAATATTAACCCTTTCAGACCCGTTTATGCCAATAACAAGGGCCTTCTTCAATGCTGCACTGAACTATGATTCTCTGCATTACAACAGAATAGATGCATCTGACTGAGATGATTTCGGTAAGAATTAAAAGAATCACTTTTACATTTCAATAAATTATGTGGGACTTCAGGCATTTATTCTGCATTGCGCCTTTACCACATATATGCAACAATAACAGACAAACCTAATAACATCAATTGCATAGGAACAAGAAATTATGTATTACAGTATCTGTCTAGAAATAAGCCTTATTCTGATACAGGCCTAACTTTGATGAGCTTCAAAGTTGTAGTTCCAATCTGTCAATTCTGTGTTTGCGTATGAATCGGGGTGGTTTCAATGGATGTGCATTTGTATTGCAGTGGTACCTGTCTTGAGGTAGAAAATACACCTATTGTTGTATCAGGTTAGTTGACATTCGGGTGTTCCTGGTGACTAACAAAATAGAAGATGTTACATGTTCACCAAATACTAAGCAAGAAGAGCATCGCTGTCCTTTGAATAGTTTTACATCCTTCGAGAGAGTGGACTGAACCTCAGGTTTTGCATTTCATTTGAAAGACGGCACCTGTGACATGGCAGCAACATGTCACTACTGCATTGCAGAGTCAGCCTAGTTCATATTCTTGGGTCTTTGAAGTGAGGTTTGAACTTATAAATTTCAGACTTGGAGAATGTATTATTTTCTGAGTCGCAGCTAAGTACAAAATTGTCACTCGATCAGTCCTATTATCAGAAATTGCTCAAGAACATTCCATTTACTATTGAAAGGAACTTTCTTTGGACTAGGGGAGAGCATTCTCTTTGATCTTTGGGAAATTTCCTTCAATAAAAGAGAGAACACAGATTTCATAATCATTGTGAAATCTATGTTCACACTTCCACACAGCAGTTTAATTTTCTCTGCCCTGCAGCCTGTGCAGTAACCCGAACTGTCAGCAGTCTTCTGCTTATACTCATTGTGGAAAATTGAAAATCTTCCTGCTGCTTCTGTGGTCTATGAGTGGCTCAGTTTTTGGCTTACAATCAGCTTGTAATGTTATCCGTCTTCACCATATGATGTGGGGTGACATCAGTGGAGCAGAACTTCTGGGCCAGTGACCTCACGATTGCCCAACCCAGCCACTGCTTTTGACTCTAAATATGGATAAAAACAAAATCAAAGAGAAGCAAAATGAAGAACAAAAAGTTACAACTGCAAATCATGCAGGGTGAGTGAGGGTGATCACGTGGGATGTGGGTGTATGGGAGGAGAGAGGCGCAGGGGTGTTCCAAGGGCAGTGCAGAAGATTATTAAAAGGGATGGCATAAAAGGCAAAAGTTGGAATAGCACAGCTGCTAACACAATTGTAGAAGTGGCAGAATCTTTCAGCAAGGGAACTGTCAGAGGAAATATAACAATGTTAAAAAAGTGCAAGGAGGAATGAAATTGATGAACATAACAAAAACAATTTTCATTAAATGCAAAAGCAAAAGACTGAAAATGCTACTAATCTCTAACTGATTAGTAAGTTACAGAGTCTTACAGTACGAAACAGCCCCATTGGTCCAACTAGTCCATGCTGAACATAATCCCTAACCCTAGTCCTACCTGCCTGCTCCTGGCCCATATCCCTCCACCCTTTCCTATTCATGTACTTATCCAAATGTATTTTAAACATTGTAATTGTACCCATATCCATCACTTCCTCAAGAATTTCATTCCACATGTGAACCACCCTCAGTAAAAAACAAAATATTGCCCCATATCTTTTTTTTGAAATCTCTCTCCTCTCACCTTAAAAATGTGCCTGCTAGTTTTGAAATCCTCCCCTCAGGGGAAAAAAAAACTACCATTAACTCATACAGCATCTACGGAGAGAGAAGCCAAGTTAACTCTTCAGTGCAGTAAACCTTCATCATTAAAATTTGTATGGTGCCTTTAACATAGTAAGATGAATAATATGTTAAAAGATTACATACTTGAGCTAAATGTCACTTGACTCAATTAATAGCACCCCTTACCTTTGAGTCAGAAGAATGTGGCTTCCTGCTCCACCTGGGCCTTGAGCAATCAATCTGAAACATTTATTAAATCTTCTTTTGATGAACTACTGCATTAGAAGTAGTCCAGGAATTTCAAGCCTCTCCTCTAAATGGTGGCGTATCATTGAGCTAGAAGGATAATCACGATGGTTTCAGTGTTCTTTTAACTTAGTCTTTTTGAACAGAAAGAAATTCCACTTAACTAATAGTGAACTAATCTGTGATGATGGACCAAAATAAAGGAGCATGTCCTGGAAGTAGTCATAGTGATAGCTTCACTTTACGGTAATTGATTGTACGGCACCAATGGCTTTTCAGGGACCAAAGAAATCTGGGTAGAGTTTGCAATCCTTTTAGCTTGTCCTGGATTAAAGATTAATCTACAAGTGAGCAACCTGGCAGAAAAATTATGTGGGCATTAAAGTCTTTATTACAGACAGAACTTATGTATATCTTTAATAAGGCCTCGATCAGTTTGTTGATATGTAAAATATATGTCTTTTCTTACCCTCAGAGTGAATGTCCCAAATAAATAATTCCATTTGCAAGATACTTATCAGTTTTAAAATAGTTATTTATAGTCATTTCGAAATTGAGTATTGCTGAAAAAAAAGACACATTTGATTGAAACTTTGTATCTTACTCCTCAGGACAATGCACAAGAATAACAACATAACATGAAAGCAACATTTATATTGTGAGAGAAGAGTGACAATTGGTTGACAAGGAGACACTGATTGGTAGAAATATTGCCATTGAAAATGCACCAGTTAGAGATTACTGACTATTAATCTCCAAACTTTGTTTAAATTGTAAACCCGTCTGTAAACTGGCTCTAATTTGTCAAGCAACGTCCTTTGAAATTAACCAGGGAATGACTTTCACCTATTTTGTTGAATTGAATCAGGGGCAGTTATATACATGTTCTTTATGTTTGTGAAGAACAGAGACTGTGTATTAATTTGTGAAGTTTCTGTTACACATAGATGTACCATGATTCGAACCTGACTGACAATTCAAAATTGGTTGCCAGTGCAAATATTTGCACACTCAGGTTTATTTAACTGTGGAATCACATCTAGTATTGGACATGGTGTTGTGAGTTTTACAAATGTGGGATGGCTGGGAACGGTTAGAACCTTGATCATTGCAAACAGTCAAAGAGATATTCTGTTAGATTTGATCCACCTATCTTTAGGGACTTAGGACTTACATACCTAGCATCACACCAGCAATTAAATTTATTTACCATGTTACTGATTTGAGTGATAGGGAATATACCTTTTTGGTTTCATGACAGCATCCTGTTCATGGTGAAAACTATGTGTGGTGCAGCAGCATGAAACAGCCAACCTCACCCGTCCGAGATAGACCTGACACTTTTCAGGGCCAAAAGTAACTATCTTAGGGTCTTCCAGAATTTGCATGATAAATTGCAATAAGTAATCTGACCAGGGTAGCCATTATCCCAAAGGATGACTTCAAAGCACCCCATAATCGACAACAAGCTTGCACATTGAACAGATAGCATAGGTCCAGATAATGCCTTATTTGAGGTTACAGACCATATAGGATAATCCCAGTGCTTATATTAATTAAGAAAAGTAGGTTTTTCACAGACACTGGCCAACCTATCAACACTGTCCTTTCCTACAGTACAAATGTTGTTTTCCCTTTGCATTGCTATTCTTGTGAATTTTCCTGATGAACACAACATAAAAAAGTTATTTATTATTTATGTTTGCCTCAGATTTTAAAACATTATGTCATGCACACAAAGATTAGATACAGCTAAACCAATACAGTTGCTACTTATGATTGTCTGGCATTTTCTGACAGGCCTGTAGTTTCTTAGATGGATGTGATCATTTAAAATTGTAATGAAAGTTTGGTAAAGTGAGAGAGTCTCAGTAAGTTGTGAGATTTCTTGTAGTTAAATTTTTGGAGGACCAATTCTCAGCTGAAGTCAAAGGTGGGATAGGTTGATATTCACAGAAACCTCTTACTTTCAAAGTATTGCTGATAACTTACAGCTAGTTTGATACCTTCCAGTGAAATTCTGTGTCTGGCAAACAGCCTCTCCTGATTTTAAAGCAAACAATAAACATGGCGAACTCACCATGTAATTTCCACAAGTTGAAAGTTCTTTTGTTGTTTCCATTCATCCTGTCTTGTTTGACAACTTGAGAGAGTTGAGACGAGTGCTTTTGTATTTGAATGACTCCTACAACTTAGAAATGACCCTTTTGAATTGGTTTCAGGAAAGGAATTGATTCAACATAGGTCTGGAATGTTCCTTTTGTTCCCCCTTGAGACAGGGGAGTGGTTTCAACCAGAGGTCAGGTGACCATTGGACAGCCATCTTTTGAAAGTTTTTGTTCAGCTTTTATAAAATGTAAAGTATTGACTGAAAGACCATATATATACAGGAATATAACATTTTAAAAAGCTCTGAACAATTTAATTTTTTACTTATACATATATTGAAGATGGTGGCAGGAATGCTATTTGACTGGATGGGGCAATTGATTGCAGTAGGTCATGTGTTGAAATGTCCAAGAATACATTCAACAAGAATGTATTCTGGTTTATTACCTCTTTGAGACAGCATCAGGAAGGATCAGAATATTTATATAAGAATTCACTAGGACTGCAGTCAATTGTACTAAAGAAATATTTAAACAAAGCTTCAAATTCTTGAACAGTCAGTTAAACCCTACCAAGCTCTTAAATACCACAATAACCAAAGAAACTAAAATATGTAAATTGACAGAACAGAGTAAATACTCATTGTTATTCGTAGTGCATGTTTTAATGTCTTACATAGTGCCTCAGGAATGGAAGAATTCTGACTATCTAATATTTAGATAAACAACAATAATTTTGCAACCAAAATTATAAAGTGCACATGTAAATTTAACTTCTTACTTTTTCCATTAATGTTTTTTGTGTGGCCTTGCAAAAACTTCAACTTGTCACATTTCCCCAATGAAATGTAAGATTTATGATCAAGAGTAGGTAGGCCATTTCATCCATCAAACCGGTTCCACCATTTAATAAGATTGTGTTTGATCTGATTGCAGATTTCCCTCCACGTTCCCACCTGCTGTCCATTAAACCCTGACTTCTTTGTCAATCAAAAATCTGTTGAAGTTATCCTTAAACATTAAAAAAAACGACAAAGGATAGCTCACTGGGGAGTCACTAACTGACATGGATCCTCTCTTCTGTTTGGGGTTTAGAATGAAACCTATGAAATTCTCTTTTGGATGGTCCTTGTCATTCCTCAATTGGCTGTTCCTTTACTGACTGTTCTTTGGCTTGTTGCTCCATCACTGGCTTTTCTATACTAGTTGTTTCTTGCCTTTTACTAGTTTAATTTCCTCTGCCAGTTGAAGAAAACTGAGTGTAATCATGCATTCATATTTAAGAATGAGATTTCTTGATTTTGAAGTATGTGTACGTTTTCTCCTATTTTAGAATCAGAGAATCCCTACAGTGTAGAAAGAGGCCATTCGGCCCACTGAGTCTGCACCGACCATCTGAACAGCATCTTGCGCAGGCCAAGCACCCTACCTTATCCCTGTAAGTCTATATTTACCATAGCTAATCCACCTAGCCTGCACATCCCTGGACACTATGGACAATCTATTATGGCCAATCCACCTACATTGCACATCTTTGGACTGTGGGAGGAAACCAGAGCACCAAGCGGAAACAAAAGCAGATACAGGCCGAACTCCACACAGAGAGTCACCCGAGTCTGGAATCAAACCCGGGTCCCTGGCGCTGTGAGTCTAACCATTGAGCCATCATGCGTTCCATATTATGTATCCCTTATGTTAGACAGTTGCTAATTGTAAACTGACCATTTTAGATGCTGTATCTCCAGACCATGTCCTGGACTTTTGTCAGCGATTGATATTGTTGTTCAATCATGGTTCACTATCTAATAATAAAGTGGCATTTTCCCCAGTGCCTGACTTGAAATTAATGAGATGACGATTTACATAAACATCTTCTTGCTATAAAGCTAGGTCTGGATTACCTATTCCCATAGTATTTCCCTACTATTACCTATAGTAGATGAATGTGTGACTGGAGAGATGGTGCAGGAAAGAGGGTTTTAGATTAGTTAGGCATTGGGATCATTTCTGGGGGAGGTGTTACCTGTATAAGTTGAACAGGTTACATCTGAATGGGAATGGGAATGGGACCAAAGCATCCTGTAGTCTTTATTTGTTGAAATAATCTGTTTCTATTGTTCCTGCCAAAGTCGACAACTTAACATTGCACTCTTCTGATACTTTGTCAGTTGCAGAATTTCCAGTTTGCAGGCACCAGCCATGTCCTCCATACCAAGGATGCACAATCTCTTTACACATCCATCCCCCATCAGGATGGTCTTAGGGCTTTCTCCTTTTACCTGGAAAGAAGGCCTGACCTGTCCCCATCTACCACCACCCTCCATTGCCTGGCTTACATTGAACAACTTCTCCTTTAACTCCTCTCGCGTACATAAACTCAAAGAAATGGTCATGGGTACCTGCTTGGTCCTCTGTTATGCCTGTCTCTTTGTGTGTTATGTGGAACATTCCTTGTTCCAGTCCTCCCCCTTAACTCTTTCTCCATACATCAATGATGTTATCAGAACTTCTTTCCTCTCTCAATTGGAATTGGAAAGGTTTACCTATTTCGCTTTGACTTTTCACCCAGCTCTCACCTTCACCGACTCCCATAATTAACTGGACTATATAATCCCCTCACCCTGCTTCCTGTAAGGACACTGTTCCTTTCTCCCAGTTTCTCCATCTCTGTCACATCCGTTCTGATGATGCCAGCTTCCATCAGGGAGCAAAATGTCCACCTTTTTCCTCTACCACTATCTTAGTCGACACGGCCCTACCAATGGGATGCCACTACCAGACACATATTCCCCTCCCCTACCTTGTCAACATTTCACAGTGACCATTCTCCCAGGACACCTTAATCCACTATTTCTCCATTCCTGACACCTTCCTACACCCTCATGGTACCTTCCTATTGCAATTGCAGCAGGTGCAATGCTTTCCTGCTTACCTCCTCCTTTCTCACTAACCAAGCCTCCAGAGATACCTTCCAGATGAGACAGTGATTCATCTGCTCTTCACTCAAACTAGTCCACTGTATTTGCTGCTCACAATGTGGTTTCCACTACACTGGGGAGGCCAAATGCACACTGGGTGATGGCTTTGTGGAACGTCTATAAAAATGACTTCAAGCTTCCTGTTGCCTGCCATTTCAACGCATGACCGTGTTCCTTGGCTGACATTTCTGTCTAGAGCCAGCTGCACTGCTTCAGCGAGGCTCAGCACAAGCTGGAAAAACAGCTTTTCATCTTCTGCTTGGGATCCCTGCAGCCTTCAGGACTCAATTTTGAGTTCAACAATTGTAGAGCCTGAACACCTCCTCCTATGTCCTTGCCCACCTTTATGTACTAGGCCCTGTCATGACATGGGCTGGTTTCAGCACAGACAGCCTATTTTCACCTATGCATTGTCTCCATTATCAGCTTTTCTTCTTCCCTGGCTTACTATCTACCATCCCTTTGTCCATTCAACTTTTTTTCTCTTTCACTGTTGGATCCATCTCTACTTGTCTGCTCACTCTTTCCAACCCCCATGCCCTGTAATTAGCAGAAATATCACCTTTCCCTACCTACTTTCAGTTCTGATTAAGGGTCATGAAATGTTAACTCTGTTTTCTCTCCAGAGATGCTGCTAGGCATGCTGAGTTTTCCCACATTTTTGCTTCACATTTACTGCATTATACCTGCCATCATTTGTCCACTTAGACGTTATCCTCGTCTCCTGTCCAATAATACGTTATTTGATCAAGCATCATGAAAACAGATTTCTACAGCAAAATAGTGCAGCTGCTGAAAATCTGAAACAAGTACTGAAAAGCTGTTAAAAACTCAAGCTACATCTTTTGAGAGAGACTGAGTTAACTTTTCAGAGTTAAAACTGAGTTAGCCTTTCATCACATGGGTCATTGACGTCTCGGAGAGTTTGTTAGGTGCAAATTGGCTTCTACAGGCCTACATTATAGCAGTTACTGCACTTCATTGGTTGTAAAGCACTTTGATATATGCTGCAAAAGCCCGTGTATGAACATGATAACAAGGTGTAGAGCTGGATGAACACAGCAGGCCAGGCAGCATCAGAGGAGCAGGAAAGCTGACGTTTCGTGCCTGGACCCTTCTTAATTTCTGAAAGAAGGGTCCAGGGCCGAAACCTGAGCTTTCCTGCTCCCCTGATGCTGCTTGGCCTGCTGTATTCATCCAGCTCTACACTTTGTTATCTCAGACTGTAGCATCGGCAGTTCCTACTACCCCCCGTGTATAAACAAACGTTTTGTTTTCCTTCAACATTTTCATTGTCAAAGGTTTGCGAGGATTTAATAAAAACAATGCTCCATTAACTGACAATACCCTAGTTCTAAGTTATATTTTATCAACACGTCCTTAAATGACTCTGAGCCCTATTTTGCTAAATGTATCCCTTCGGAAGTATTTCCTTGCTACTTCAGGAGAACTACAGCTCCCGTCATGCCGGGCGGCGCAAACGCATGCGCACTATCCGCAAATTCCATTATGACCGGATTTGTCAGTTTTTCATAAAGTTCGTTAATTGTCATCACACACAATAGCAAGACAATTAAATAATGAACTGACCCAGGTATATAATAAAAAAAGCTTCGAGAAAGGTTGTCACTGAAATGTTTAACCTCCAACTGTCACCGGTAAAGACTACAGTTCCCAGAAGGCCGCGGGGTAACGGGGGCGCGTTTAGTGTCGGCTTTGCGTGATGACGGACTGCGTCGGCGACAAACAACAACGTCAACGTCACGGGCGAGGGTTGAAGAGAAGGTTCAGGATCAGAGAGAGGGAAGGAAGGTAGAAAGGAGAGGCGGAGGAAGAAGGAGGTCGAGGGAGAGGGAAAACCGCGAGGAAAGGGGGTGGGAAAACAACCGGCTGCATTAAACAAGCGATCATTAAAGTGAGCCCCAGGGACCGGCGGAGATTCACCACAGAGCCTGAAGAGGACAAAGTGGCGTCACCCGAGTGAAGAGAAGGGGGAACGAATCTCCTCAGACACACAAACACACGCACAGTTTGTTCCCCCCTTCCCCCGTCTTGTTTTCGTTGCCGTCTGAGTATACATCTCGATATCTATCATTTTTTTTGTGCCACCCCCTTTTTCTACCCCCTCCACCCCCCCGGGCCGGGGGTTCCGACTCTCCGTTTGCACCTGAAAAGAGTTTGGTTATTTTCCTGTGTGTGTGCGCGGCGGAGGGGTTTGGGGGGGGGGGGGGGGGGAGTGGGGTGGAGGAGGAGGTGGTGGTGGTTTGGAGGAAGACAGGCCCGAGAAGAGGAATTAAAGCCGCCACCTCCTCAGCAGCACCAACATGTCCTCCCCGAGTCCCGGGAAGAGGCGAATGGACACCGATGTGGTCAAACTGTATCCTTCAGAGCAGCGAGTCTCCCAGTCGGAGAGGCTTCAGCAGTTAACGCTTTTCCTCCC